AGGTGTTGCTAGGCCCTTGCAGTGGTACATCCCAAGTGGTTGCTAAGGTGTTGCTGTGTTATCCCAAGTGGTTGCTAAGATGTTTCTAGGCCTTGCTATGGACTTCCAGATGTTTGCTAAGGTGTTGTTAGACTTGTTACTATGGTATCCCAGGTGGTTGCTAAGTTGTTGCTAGGCCATTGCTGTGGTATCCTAGGTAGTTGTTAAGGTGTTGCAAGGCCCTTGCAGTGGTACATCCCAAGTGGTTGCTAAGGTGTTGCTGTGTTATCCCAAGTGGTTGCTAAGATGTTTCTAGGCCTTGCTATGGACTTCCAGATGGTTGCTAAGGTGTTGTTAGACTTGTTACTATGGTATCCCAGGTGGTTGCTAAGTTGTTGCTAGGCCATTGCTGTGGTATCCTAGGTAGTTGTTAAGGTGTTGCTAGGCCCTTGCAGTGGTACATCCCAAGTGGTTGCTAAGGTGTTGCTGTGTTATCCCAAGTGGTTGCTAAGATGTTTCTAGGCCTTGCTATGGACTTCCAGATGTTTGCTAAGGTGTTGTTAGACTTGTTACTATGGTATCCCAGGTGGTTGCTAAGTTGTTGCTAGGCCATTGCTGTGGTATGCTAGGTAGTTGTTAAGGTGTTGCTAGGCCCTTGCAGTGGTACATCCCAAGTGGTTGCTAAGGTGTTGCTGTGTTATCCCAAGTGGTTGCTAAGATGTTTCTAGGCCTTGCTATGGACTTCCAGATGTTTGCTAAGGTGTTGTTAGACTTGTTACTATGGTATCCCAGGTGGTTGCTAAGTTGTTGCTAGGCCATTGCTGTGGTATCCTAGGTAGTTGTTAAGGTGTTGCTAGGCCCTTGCAGTGGTACATCCCAAGTGGTTGCTAAGGTGTTGCTGTGTTATCCCAAGTGGTTGCTAAGATGTTTCTAGGCCTTGCTATGGACTTCCAGATGTTTGCTAAGGTGTTGTTAGACTTGTTACTATGGTATCCCAGGTGGTTGCTAAGTTGTTGCTAGGCCATTGCTGTGGTATCCTAGGTAGTTGTTAACGTGTTGCGAGGCCCTTGCAGTGGTACATCCCAAGTGGTTGCTAAGGTGTTGCTGTGTTATCCCAAGTGGTTGCTAAGATGTTTCTAGGCCTTGCTATGGACTTCCAGATGGTTGCTAAGGTGTTGTTAGACTTGTTACTATGGTATCCCAGGTGGTTGCTAAGTTGTTGCTAGGCCATTGCTGTGGTATGCTAGGTAGTTGTTAAGGTGTTGCTAGGCCCTTGCAGTGGTACATCCCAAGTGGTTGCTAAGGTGTTGCTGTGTTATCCCAAGTGGTTGCTAAGATGTTTCTAGGCCTTGCTATGGACTTCCAGATGTTTGCTAAGGTGTTGTTAGACTTGTTACTATGGTATCCCAGGTGGTTGCTAAGTTGTTGCTAGGCCATTGCTGTGGTATCCTAGGTAGTTGTTAAGGTGTTGCGAGGCCCTTGCAGTGGTACATCCCAAGTGGTTGCTAAGGTGTTGCTGTGTTATCCCAAGTGGTTGCTAAGATGTTTCTAGGCCTTGCTATGGACTTCCAGATGTTTGCTAAGGTGTTGTTAGACTTGTTACTATGGTATCCCAGGTGGTTGCTAAGTTGTTGCTAGGCCATTGCTGTGGTATCCTAGGTAGTTGTTAAGGTGTTGCAAGGCCCTTGCAGTGGTACATCCCAAGTGGTTGCTAAGGTGTTGCTGTGTTATCCCAAGTGGTTGCTAAGATGTTTCTAGGCCTTGCTATGGACTTCCAGATGGTTGCTAAGGTGTTGTTAGACTTGTTACTATGGTATCCCAGGTGGTTGCTAAGTTGTTGCTAGGCCATTGCTGTGGTATCCTAGGTAGTTGTTAAGGTGTTGCTAGGCCCTTGCAGTGGTACATCCCAAGTGGTTGCTAAGGTGTTGCTGTGTTATCCCAAGTGGTTGCTAAGATGTTTCTAGGCCTTGCTATGGAGTTCCAGATGTTTGCTAAGGTGTTGTTAGACTTGTTACTATGGTATCCCAGGTGGTTGCTAAGTTGTTGCTAGGCCATTGCTGTGGTATCCTAGGTAGTTGTTAAGGTGTTGCAAGGCCCTTGCAGTGGTACATCCCAAGTGGTTGCTAAGGTGTTGCTGTGTTATCCCAAGTGGTTGCTAAGATGTTTCTAGGCCTTGCTATGGACTTCCAGATGGTTGCTAAGGTGTTGTTAGACTTGTTACTATGGTATCCCAGGTGGTTGCTAAGTTGTTGCTAGGCCATTGCTGTGGTATCCTAGGTAGTTGTTAAGGTGTTGCAAGGCCCTTGCAGTGGTACATCCCAAGTGGTTGCTAAGGTGTTGCTGTGTTATCCCAAGTGGTTGCTAAGATGTTTCTAGGCCTTGCTATGGACTTCCAGATGGTTGCTAAGGTGTTGTTAGACTTGTTACTATGGTATCCCAGGTGGTTGCTAAGTTGTTGCTAGGCTATTGTTGTTATCCCAAGTGGTTGCTAGGCCATTGCTTTTGCTATCAGTAATTTGCAGAGGTGTCACTAGGGTGTTGCTTTGATATTTTTGTTTAGCCATTAATGCGTTATCCCAGGTTGCTAAGGTGGTGCCAGGCCAGTGCTATGATATCCGAGGTGGTTGCGAATATGATGTTTCATTTACAAGACAAGTTGTCATACTTTTATTTATGGTCTTAGTTTATGTCTTTATGTCTTCACTGGGCGTGGGTGATTTCTCCCTGAGACACTATATACTGCCACGTAAATATATAACTAAAAATAGATGGTCTGACCTGCTGTCTGCCTCTGTTCTTATCTTTGTTAGTGCTGTAAAAGATGATGATTTCCATACATTTCTGAGCCTTTTTGCCTGCCAGACATGTTTATATGCTCTGGCAGGGGAATATCAGCGAACTGGGCTGTTTATGAATGATAGAAGGAACCATAATCTCTGGCGAAATCAGTTTAAACGTATAGAAAACCAAAGTGCGCTGTAGACTAGAGTAATGTCTCAGATATGTCAGATATCAAATCAAATACCCTCAGCACTCATCTGTTAAGTAAATATTAGATATTAGTATTACCGAAGACATTTAGACATTTAAATTAAAATGCTGTATTATTGCAGCTGTGTTTTGTGTTATTTACAACCCCATTTCCAAAAAAGTTGGAACGCTGTGCAGAATGTAAATAAAAATAGGATGCAATGATGTGCAAATCATATAAACCATATTTTTAAAGGAAAATACTATGAAGACAACATATCAAATGTTGAAACTGAGAGATTTTTATTGTTTTTTGAAAAATATCTGCCCATTTTGAATTTGATGCCAACAACACATTCCAAAAAAGCTGGGACGGGGGGATGTTTACCACTGTGTTTCATCACCTCCTCTTTTAACAGCACTCTAAGTGTTTGGGAACTGAGGAGACACTGCTGTAGTTTTGAAAGTGAAATGTTTTCCTGTTCTTGTTTGATATAAGATTTCAGCTGCTCATCAGTTCAGGGTCTCCTTTGTCATATTTTTCATTTCATAATGCGCCAAATGTTTTCAGTGGTGACAGATCTGGACTGCAGGCAGGTCAGTTTAGCACCAGGACTCTTTTAATACGGAGCCATGCTGCTGTAATACGTGCAGAATATGGTTTTACATTGTTTTGCTGAAATAATCAAAGCCCTTCCCTGAAGAAGACGTCATCTGAATGGCAACATTGGGTACAAGTGGATCAGACACAGCAGTGCTGCTGGAGTTTTTAAACACTGTGTCCACTCACTGTCCACTCTATTAGACACTCCACCTTGTCAGTCCACCTTGTAGATGTGAAGTCAGAGACGATAGCTCATCTGCTGCTGCACAGTTTGTGTTGGTCATCCTCTAGTCCTTCAACAGTGCTCACAGGACGCTGCCCACAGGACGCTGTTGGCTGGATATTTTTGGTTGGTGGACTATTCTCAGTCCAGCAGTGACACTGAGGTGTTTAAAAACTCCAGCAGCACTGCTGTGTCTGATCCACTCAGACCAGCACAACACACACTAACACACCACCACCACATCAGTGTTACTGCAATGCTGAGAATGATCCACCACCCAAATAGTACCTGCTCTGTGAGGGTCCATGGGGGTCCTGACCACTGAAGAACAGGGTAAAAGGGGGCTAACAAAGTATGCAGAGAAACAGATGGACTACAGTCTGTAACTGTAGAACTACAAAGTGCACCTATATAGTAAGTGGAGCTGATAAAATGGACAATGAGCATAGAAACAAGGAGGTGGTCATAATGTTATGCCTGATTGGTGTGTGTCTTTACATGGAATGGTTATTTATTTCAATGTGCATGTAAAATAAAACCATCCACTTTTGTACTGGATAGATGTGCATAAATCATTAGTTTTATTGTTATTTTCTATTTTTATTTTTAATATTGGTATTAGATGATACGGATGATATCGATGAGCTTTTTGTTAACCAAAAAAAAAATTTCTTTATAGGTTGTTAAACCATTAAGCTCATATTTACATGCACTCCTACCATCAAACAGATACACGAAAGATGAAAGTGATAAATATATACCTGTGTGCACCACCAACGTATAACCTGTGAGTTGTACTGGCTCCTTTAACCTGCCTAGGTCACAGCAGCTCATCTAATCCATTTTTAAAAAGCTTCTCGAAAGTCTGAGCCAGACCACCGGTCGTGCCAGGTTTATCAAAATAGAACAGATGTGGCTACAAACAGTAGACCGATTAAAAACCAAACAGGAAGTGCTGATCAAGCCAACTAAAAGTAGTTTAGTCTGGTTTATTCACACACACAGCAGCTTTAAACACGACCCTAAAATAAATTACTGTCTGATTCGTTTCCTTTATTCATCAGTATCAGATCTTTTGAAGGCGTGTTGACCCTGTCGCTATTTCCGTCAGTCCTTGGGAGCATCAATGATCGAGACTTGCCTTTATTTTAGAGCGTCTGGCTGACATTGATTCACACATTGATTCATCTGCTCTGAACTGATGGATGGTTTGTTCTTTTTCAGTGCTGGTCCTAAAGGAGACAACATCTACGAGTGGAGGTCAACCATCCTGGGTCCCCCAGGCTCTGTCTATGAGGGAGGGGTCTTCTTCCTTGACATCGCCTTCACTCCAGACTACCCCTTCAAACCTCCCAAGGTGAGTCTGGTGACATGCTGGGAAATAACAGCTACTTGAAGGTGCACTCACTGCTGAGACATTCACATAGCTTGTAAAACCTCCATAGAAAAGCATTGACCAATCGCATGGGAGCCAAACATTAGCCTATGGTCACCTAACGTGGGCTAGAGGGGTATAAATCCCCCCCAGCATTGGGCTGTAGAGCAGTGGGACTACGTTCTGTGGAGTGATGGAGCTCCATCCAGTACCTTTGGGATGAGTTGGAGTGATCCAGAACTAACCATCCAACATCAGTACCTGACCTCACTGATGCTCAATCAAATCCTCACAGCAATGTTCCAACATCTAGTGTAAAGCTTTCCAGAAGAGTAGAGGCTGTTACTGCAGCAAAGGGGGACAAACTCACCATTAATACCCTTCAGTTTGTGGTTCTTTAGTAAAGGCAATAGTTCTAATTAGAACCACAGGTTGTTTATAGAACTGTGTGCATGTTTAAATGGTTGTTTGCGTGGTGAAATGGTTCTTCAGGCTGATGGAGAATGTGTCATATATGGTTCTGTATAGCACCGAAAAGGGTTCTTCTGTTGTACACAAGCTATTTAGTGCTATATAGAGCCATCTGCAGCATGTTCTCCATTAATCTGAAGAACGCTTTTATGATGCAAAGAACCATTTAATCATGCAAAGGGTTCTTTGAGTGTTAATGTTTCTATATAGAACGATTTTCTTGAAGAACCGTCTCTTTCAGAGTGTAGGTGATCAGCACAGGGAGAAAGAGTGGTGCTTTGTGTCAGTGACACTGTGTGTCCTTATTTATTCATAAGAATATAAAATAGTTTCTCTTTGGAATTTGTTAACGGGGCGAAAAGCAAACTGGATATTGTTAAAGGGCTGAAATATACTTGGGTGCCCATCTGTGTGTGTGTGTGTGTGTGTGTGTGTGTGTGTGTGTGTATAACACGTGAGAAACACTCTGTTTGGTTCATCAGTAGCAATAAAAAGCTAATGGAGTGAGAGGAGTATTCCTGTTCGTGTGTTTTCTCGTTCACTGTGGTAGTTTGTGACACTCAATAAAAGCCTTGTTCATTACATATCAAAATAAATGCATCTCAGTGATAATAAATCACATTATTGAAGGAGAAGAGTAGATTTAGGCCCAATGCCATTTCACTCCTCACCCCTACCACTTAGCCCTACCTCTCCGTTTTGAAAAGGATGGCATGCCCACTCCAGGTAAGGGGAGAGGACCTGCCCCAGGTGGAGGAGTTTAAGGATCTCAGGGTCTTGTTCATGAGTGTTGGGAAGAGGGATGGTGAGATCGACCGCAGGCTGGGACAGGCGGCAGCAGTAACGCGGTCACTGTACCGGACTGTAGTGGTGAAGAGGGAGCTGAGCCAGAAAGCAAAGCTCTCTGTTTACTGGTCAGTCTACACCCCCACCCTCACCTGTGGTCATGAGCTTTGTTTAATGCCCGAAAGAATGAGATCGTGGATGCAAGCAGCGGAAATGAGCTTTCTCCGCAAGGCTGCACTCTACTGACAGGGTGAGGAGCTCGGAGTAGAGCTGCTACTCCTCTGCACTGAGAGGAGCCAGTTGAGGTGGTTCGAGCATCTGATCGGGATGCCCCCTGGCCGCCTCCCGGTGGGGGTTCACCAGGCAAGGCCCACTGGAAGAGGCCCCAAGGTCGTCCTAGGACCCGCTGGAGGGATTATATCTCCAAGTTGGTCTGGAAGCGGCTCGGGGTCCCTCGGAATGAGCTGGAGGAAGTTGTGGGGGGCAGGGTCGTCTGGGATTCTCTGCTCTCCCAACCCTATCTGGACTAAGCGGTTAAAGACGTGTTCACGTGTAGGGGTGGGGTGTCCCAAGTTTTGTTGAGATAGAGGGGGAGGGCGAAGTGTTTGGACTACATGGCCCTCCGAAGTTGTTCAGAGACTCACTCCAAATAGAGTGTTATAAGGAAAAAAGAAAAAAACGGCGAGATGGCTGAACAAGCGAAATAAGAAACCCACAAATGTGAGGATTTTCTGTTAAAAATTACAATAATCATTGTATTATCTTTAATGTCGTTTTGATGTATTATGGCCCTTTTCTTCATAACAAGCATAAAAATTGCTAATACTATGCTGATGTCTCAGTAGCTAGCTAAATTTCCAGTTCCGCCTTAAATGGCAGTTACGTTCTGGTGTCAGACCTCCTGCACCATTTAAGGTGGAACGTGAAAATTCAAATGAGAAGCTGGTGAATATCTGACTTCAGCTTCATACCACTGAAGAATTAGGGGTGGGTGATAATAAATAATTGCCCCCCTCTTTGAAGGCATACGATGCCCTAAATGTAACTAAAGCCCAGCAGTGAGGAGCTGAACTTTACCCTCCTCTGCTGTCA